CTTCTTTCCGCTCGCAGCGCTGCAGCGGAAAGTCGACAAGGGGGAGGGGGGAGGGGAACACTTTAAATTCATATTCCTGCGGCCTCCAAATGATGGTCATGATCTTATGCCTGATCTGCCAGAACCAAATATATATAAATGCCATATGGTTTGAAGAGCCAAGCCAGACCCCCGGAGGAGTGAGTGGAGGCCACTGTCCCGGACAGAGTAGTAATGCTGATTGTCGCAATTTTGTAAGTTCGAATTTTTGCCTCCCCCCCGTCCACAAGTTGAAATTTCCGTTTAATTAACACGGGGTATAAATTCATAGGATCGAGTCACGATGTGGCCGAAGAGGTTCCAAGAGGAATAACCCCAAAAACACGGAATCGGTGGACATTCGAGACCTCAATGCCATTGCTGACCTGCCGGGGCCTGGGAGCCATTTCGTTCTGTAGATCGCAAAGGGTGTACGTTTAATGAATGACAGTTGTCGGACCAATTGAGTAGAAAAAGTGAATAGTAGGCCTACAATTGAATATAAAACTCATTTCTGCGCTATTAATTTGGGCTTTCTTTCTGGTCGACATGCGCTGCGTCCATCTTGTAAACATATACATGTAGTTGGTTGTCCCTTAAGTAGCTCTAGATGTCTGGCAACAAACAATAGATAATCCTGCTCTTTCTCCAAGTATGTAGATTAATGGACAAACGCCCACGGATGCCCGAAACATTAACCGGTCATAATGAAATAAAAGAAAGATTAGCTTGGTAGCAAGAGGCGGATCACATCAACTTTCCAACTCACCTATTTGAGCTACGGTAGTGATTGAGATCACGAGGCACTTCCCATTTTAAGTTGTGCTTTTGCCTGCAGCTCGCCGGCGGAAAGACTCGATTCTGTTTTACCGTAACCTTCATTCGTTCAATCAAGTCCGATTTTCGATGTACTACCCACCGTATATTATAACGATTACACTGTGCGCTCTGACTGCTTATGTTATGTACTTGACAGGAAAAGCCATAGCTGCAGCAGAGTTTGCTATTCATCGATCATAACAGCCAGATCAGAGCTACATATACAAGTGAGGGGGTCGTAGCAGAGGCGCATGCATGCTTATTTAGCTACCACCATTAAACACCCCCGAAGGACCAATCAAAGCTAGCTCTATCGCTAGCTTCAACAGTACAGATAAGCATTAAGGTAGCAAAGTTTGCCATAGTATTTGGAAAACTATCAACAATTATATCCTGTCTGCATGCGTTCCATCGATAACGTTTGTAGACATTCTTTCTCACCAACGTATTCCTAACTAAACGTATTTTAGTCATGAGATTTCCCTCCTGTTGACACTGCCTTGGAAGCGTCTATATCATTCAAAGCAAAATTAAAAGAAAAAAGAAAAGTAAAGCAAAGAGAAAAAAAAAGAAAGAAGCAAAAAAAAAGGTCATGTCAAGCTATCTGAATTGAGATGTACTCAATTATGTCCTCCACATTTCTTATATCATCCATCCATAGCTCACCATTTTACTCATCTCCGGCAATATCCATCTTGGCCGAGCAAATACGCTTGCTATCCTTGTCTTGAAGAGGATGTGCCTCATCGGTATGCTGCTCCTGTTCTCCAACTGGAGTTGCTGCTGCTAGGGGTAGAGCAGTTTCGATGGTAGAACTGTTGCCACTGGGAGTGGCTTCCAATGCGTTCTGTAAGTTTGTCATATTGAACCTTTGCAACCTCCTAGCCCTTGTTTGGCGTAAAGTGTTTTCGTCGTTTCTGGGTTGGATAAGTGCAGGCTATCAACACCTTGTATTAGAATATTTCTCCAAAATTTTACAGACATGAATATTAATACATACGTTACGATGGACCTCTTGGGATTGATGCTCCACGTTCGGGTCCCTTGATCTGTCTGTCAAATGACGAATAAGGCCGTCGAGGTGTTCCACAAAAGCTTCAATTCGGAGGACTTCTTGTTCCAAGATTTGCAGGGTTGCCTCATCCAATAGGATAGGAGAACCATCAAGGGTAGGATTCTGAGAGCTGCCGGGAGTAGCACTACCCTGAGAAGTAACGTGGGAGGTACCCTGAGAGATAACGCGAGCGAGAATCCGAGAAGTAACCTGAGAAGCAATCTGAGGAATAACCTGAGCAGTAGCCTGGGAAGAAATACCATGAGAATGATGCATGGGTAGAATATCATCGTCAGAGTGATAAGCGGTGCTATCTTGGCTATTGCCACTAACAGAAGGTAGGTTTTCGACGCTGCCAATGGTACCGTCCTCATTACGAGGGTAGAGAATACCACCAACATATAACCCCTCATCGAGGGCTCCACTTTGGCTGTATTCCACGGTAGGTTCATCCCAGGTGGGGCCGGCAGCAACGGGGCCCTGCAGCTCCTAATTATATGTTAGTATATAGAGGATCAAGATGGAAGAAATTAAGGATGACTTACCCCACGCGTGTCAGGACGGGCCTGCCTCATGGGCAAGTCTAAGATGGACTCTCTGGAAGCTCTGTCTGGCTGGATCGATTGATGCATTATGTTTTTGATCGAGAAAGTCTTTAGATTGTAAGTAATTGTTCGTGAGGAAGAATTTAAGGAATAGCGGTGAGTTTAGAAGAGATGATGAAGATGAGAGGTGAAGGTTGATTATAGAAGGACGAGCAGTGAGACTTGAGGAAGATTACGAGGGTGATAGAGATGGAGTAGGAGACGAGAGCAGGAGAAGAAGAAGAAGAAGAGAGGGATAGAGGAGAGGCTATATATAATCATAGATGACCGGGCCAAGGCTAGCTGTCGGGTAAGATTTAACCGCTCCTCCTGGCCTATACACTCAATTGAAGCCAGAAATGTAGAGCCCATTATTCCCCCCTATTTAGCTACATATATAGATATGATAGGCATAAATCAAATATATCAACACTCACTTGTCCCATCACAATATGACAAAGATTCAATTATATCATGATAGTCTTATGTATATTCTTTCTCTCCCCTCGAAATGTTCAGATTTATCAATAAAAACCTGTGGAGTATCGAACGCCGATAGGGTCCGAGTGATATATCATGAAGGGCTGTACTGCGCAATCGGGGTGGTGTGCGAATGCACGGGGACTCTAACGAATACTTGGCACGACAGATTGAGTATCGCTTTAAGTGAGTTCATTACGTACGTAGGTACCCTACCATTTACAGTATTCTCTGTCATTGACTGACCCTTAATTGTGCTAGATGTACTTGTATACAAGTATGTACATCTTACAACCACATATGCGCGAAAGAACCACGTACACTTTCTTACTTGTACAAGACCACGTCCCTGTATGTTTATCCTATGTCATGCTTACACGTCTGGAAAATTTTTGTTTTACCATGAGACTCCGACGCATGCGCATATCCCGTTTGGAGAAATTTCTCTAGGCCACGATGTGCTGAGAAGTACCGGGTGCGTATATGTAGTGTGCACATACTCGTATACACATATGCTCTCTACACTCTCCATCAAAAAACCCGAAATTCCTCTGAACAAGTATTTGAGAATCATTAAGGAGGCTCGCCCACTTAAAACACGGAAGTATAATTTCCACCTCGGTATATCGGGGGAGAAAGAAAAAGAAAAAAAAAGAGAAACTCAGCGAGTAACAGCATGCTACGAAGCAAAACCTCTTTCGTGACCGCTACCCCCCATTCATGAAGAGGTTTACAGTTTTCATCGAACACGACCAGGGCAACAGATCTTCATCGCTAGGCGCATCACCCCGATTCTTTTGGGTGTCTCGCAAACTATGCCATGATAACATTTCTGTTCAGTATGGCCTTGCGGGGGAAACAGTACAACGGCCTCCAGAAAAAAGAATGCGACAAACCCGGATTGAACGGGTGACCTCCAGATGGCACCCCGGATAAGAGACTTCAGTCTGGCGCTCTCCCAACTGAGCTATTATCGCGTTGCATATGATGGCGGTGAAGCATTGCGCTACTAGAGTCCAAAGCATTCCTTGGGTACATGGGTGGGAGGAACGATTAGGAAAAGTGTGAAGTTCCAAGGCAGCAAACAAAGGCTGAGCGCCCGGAAGTGGACATATGACATCAATTCTTGTTCCTTATGATCACTCCAGCCCCCATCCTATTTTACCTTCAAAGCCGCAGAGGCAACGGCGGTGGAAGCACGCTCGCCCAAATTGTTGCACTTTAGGCTTCTCCATATGAAATTCAGGGCATTGACTCACATACCTATGTAGCTTCGTCGAAACCTCGATTCTATAGTTGATCTCAAAATGTTCTTAAAAAGTCTGCGTCTTGGCAGAGGCCTTGAAAATTTTGTTGTTACATTCTGAATCTTGGCACGGATCCCGTGCTCTTCAACATACCCCAACCATCTCACCGCCATCCTAATACGTCTATCTTTGCATTTCTACCTATGGCTATTAAACTTGCATCCAGGACTTTTAACGCACTTGACCTCCCCTCAAAATGCAACCCGTAGCAAGCGTTCTTATCGTTGTGATATAAGAAAGATCTCAACACAATCGCGGTTCTCCGTGGCGCAATTGGCTAGCGCGTTCGACTGTTATTTTCATATGACATCGAGAGGTTGACAGTTCAAGCCTGTCCGGGGAAGCTGAGCTATACTTTTATCTGTTCGTCCAACCCAACAGCGAGTCTTTTGAAATCACAAACGCTACATTTCGGAATTCTTATATTTAAGTGTTTTTGTTTTAAAAGGAAGAAAGATAACGCCCAGTCGGGATTAATCACACGGAAAATAGAATTAGGTCTACGACACATGAAGAGCAAGAAAAGCCATTGTGCTAGAGAACTGCGTCCTGAACAGTCTAGATAAGTGAAAAATACCTATATTTAAGCCGACATCGCGTGGTTTGAAAGGTCTTCCCATCCGGCGGTATCTCTAATAAATTCTAAGGAATTACATATACGTGTAGTATTATTCTATAGGAAAAATCGGGACTTGAGTGATTTCTAAGCAAAAAAAAGCTAAAAATGAATCATACTACCGACCCCGACGGGACTCGAACCCACAATCTTTGCCAATCACAGTTTTTACACCGGAAAGCAATGCGTTAGCCATTACGCTACGGAGCCATGAATGAAAATTTAACATTTGTCTTACATGTTTACTTTGTGACTTAGTTTGATAATAGCCACTCGGACTTTGTGAAATTTTGAGATTATTTGAGTTCTAAGCTGGCAGTTCATGTGCACACCCTTGTTCAAGTGTTGTGTTTGACCATGAAACAATGCCAAGTCTAATGAGAACGAGTGATGTACTATGATTGCAAACTGGACATGCGTGGTCAACCCATCTCTCATCATTATTAATGTCGGCCACCCACAAGTTTCAGCAATTTGCCTAGTCGGCTTTCTTTGTCTACTTGAAACCCGAAGCAAGTATAATATTCGCTCTTGCAGGCTATATACTCGTACCCTCTATGGGACATTTAATATAGATGACATGGTGTTGACACTTAAATTATAGGCTGATCGAGATAAGTTCGATAGATCATGGAGGTGTACGGTGCAATTAAACGTTTGGCCTTTGGTGGCACTTCATGGAATTACAATCCATAGTCACGCGCGGCCTACGCATCTATCGCCCAGTCACCTAGCAGGCCAAAATAAGGCTTTCGACACCATCTAAAGATTTACTCTCAAGACACAGGAGCATGTAAGAAGCCCCAAAGCTCTCAAAGCTAGTTTAGAAAAAACACATTATTCAATTTCTTCGTCTCGACTGCAGTTCAACAGGTACGAGAAGAAACTAAAAAAGACTCAATGATGTAATGCACTCCGAACTCTTTTAATGATCATGCTTAAGGCTCGTATGTCAATTCCTCCAGTAACCACAGAGACGGCCTGATAGCTGTGCTCCAGTACTTTCGCTCCCGTACTTTCAAAGCGTTCGCTTTCTTCTCCGTATCTTGACCTTGGAGCGGTTTCTCCTTGAGATGATCTCCCACGATCCTTTTCTCTTTCGAGTTATTGACGCGTTCCTTGCCAGGTAACAGAGTCATATTGAAATGCTCTATGCGCGTGAGTTCTTCATACCCCAATTCTTCACGCGCAACTCGGACAGCTTTCCATAACACCAATTCTTCGACACACCATCGAATTCTTCTTATCATACCTTCGGTCAGAAATGTGTAATCCGGGTCAACTAGAGATGCTCTAATTCCCGAGTTTTGGTTTCTGAGGCGCCAGTGATGCTGGGCAAACATCCCCGGATGAATGTGGCCAATGAAGTCGTCAGAAGGAGTCACTAATGGTGGTGTAATAGGTGGATGAGAGGATACCCTACTGAGATGGGTTTTGGATAATGGAAGTCGCCCCCCTGTAAGCTCCGATATATCGTGAGGGTAACTAGCAAGGACCTGTCTAGGTATTGGCGGGTGCACCGGCAGAGCAGGAACTGTATTTAGTAGTGCTGGTAAAGTTGAAACCTTGGACGGTAGGATCAAGAGTACAATCGAGTGCTTAAGTGGCGTGCTAATTACTGCGGTTGTCAAGCCAAAGTGCTTAAGCAGGTACTTTTGTGTCTATAAAGAATGAAGAGGGGAGAAAATCAGTATGGGGCCCCTAGAAAGATAAACTCAAGATGTGGAAACGTACCCCCCTGCCGCTCGCCTCAGCCATCACCTTCTCTCGACATCTCATAACATCCATTGTCTCCTCATATCGTTCACCACAGACGCAGATCCGCCTCCATCCCGGGAGAGTGGGGTGACTTTGACGGCCATTAGAGGAAGCGCTTTGATCAATCGCGTCGACCAAAGTTCTCGGTACATCTTCTTCATGCGCACTTAATATAACCTCTGTTTCAATCAGATTCAGTATCTCCATTGGAATAGAGGAAATTCCTTTCCTATTAGAGTCAGATTCTTTCCCAGACTTGACAGTAGGAGACACCGCCGAGAAGGCTAGATCTTCAACTACTGTCTTGGAATATTCCATAACAAGAGGGATATGGCCTCCTGACACCTCATCTCGAGCTACGCTCTCGCTATGAGACAGGATATCATAATTAGCGGCAGCATGTGGCACTGAGGGGGTAATGGCGTCAAAAGAGGATAAATGGGTAGAGGAAATGACACGAGGAGGGCTAGGAGCGAAGCGATGGCATCCACGCAATGCTCTCATGACGGGAAGGAGACGTTGATGGGTTTTGATTGCTCGTAGAAGGTGTGTCGGATGCACAGGAATTCCCCAAACAAGTGAAGTTGAAGATCTTGCGCAACGAGGCATAGTTAATTATAACGCAAGGGCTGTTGAGAATAAATACTTGTTAGGTAATTTCCTGGAAAAAGAGTAGCTGTAGTATATTAGCTAAGAGTGTGATTGGATGGTTCTGGAGCCTATGGAGTTTTGAAAGGGAAAGGCGGCTGGGTCCGTATATTTAAGGTGTCGCGATGTGAAAGAAACACGTTGTCAATCAAAAGGATTACCAGTGTAATGTAGACATCTTTGCCAGATCTTTTTTAACGGCATTATGTGTCTCATTACGTAGATAGGGGTGGTTCTAAAACGATCTATTTGAGAGATTCTATCTGGCAGGAATATCAGAAAAAGAAAGCATCATTTAGCCAGAGGCAAATTTCGTATGCAGAGAATTATAATATTCTATCTCAGGTTGTACTTTTTAGGTTGCCGGGAGAAAGCTTGGCAAGACTCGACCACTCTAAAAAGATCGGCCTGGGGGCCGCGCACCAATCGGAAGCTGTTAACCACAAGATAATGGGGAGGAAAAAGTGAACTCTCTGGCGGGGAATTGAACCCCGGTCACTCGCGGACACTGTTAATGACAAGCGAGTATACTAACCACTATACTACCAAAGATTGATTTGCGTAGAAAATTTAAAATTTTAAAACTAGCATTTTCAGCATTGAGCTGTACATTGCTCGGTAACATCGACGATGCTGGAACTGGTCATAACGGAATGACCTATACACTGCTATTTAATTAAGTATATTTCGTGTATTTAACGGCTAAATACTTAGCATTAAGAAAGATTCGGGGAAGTATATGTATTACATAAGTACTTACATATGTATCAAGGAGAATCGTAGTATTGTAAGCCTATGAAGAAGGCATAGGGGTGGGTGTGTCAACTTCAGAGGAAGAAAATTCCACCGTTAGGCTGGACGCTAGTACCAGTATGGGGTAGATCTCCAGATTTCTATAGATTGATTGGGTGCGAACGCCGAAGTTTACACGAGCTGTACATGTATGGCTTTTGCTGGTGTTCCTGCATCCGTGCAACCACCGCCCGAGTGTATTTTAGTATAGGAGCATAGGTTCATACCCCTACGCGAATGGAGTATACGCGTTTGGATTTCTTGGGCCTGCTTATGCCGTTCCGCAATCAGGCTCCAACAATTGATATATGCAAGCTCGCGTTAGTGTATTAGCGGTCCGCAGAGCCTAGGCCTACTGAATATTTGTAGCGCTCAACCACAGAGTATATGTGGCTACCTATCAGTCTGAGTCCACGTAGTTTCGTATATCTCCCCTTGTGGCCAGCTAAGGAATTTAATACGGCCCAGCTATAAATACAACCCTTTCTGGGCCATTCCTCGATCGACCCCACCATCCTCCCACCCCGCTATCCCTCTTCCCCACCACCTCGCTACTCGCAATTCCACTATCTCACTAGATCCTCCGCTTAACCACAATAACATCTCATCGATCTCATCGATCAGGTCTGCAAAAAGACTGACTGGCTTCCTAAGTACGAAGCTCCATCCTTGAATCGATGACCCAAGAGTAGAACTAATAGAGAATACAGAATTTCGATGACTACTACCGAAAGCACTAGCAGTAGCTCTAGTGGCTTGAAACATAGGACAGGCTCCTCTACCTCTGTGAAGAGCGGTAATTCTGAAAGAATGGACATCGATACCCCTTCTAAGAGAGACTATCTTGCTCCCTTGGCCCCTCTCTACGAAACTGCAAGAAAATATCGAGCAGCCACCATGCCTACAGTCGGAGGTAAACGGACTGTTGCTGCTGAAATGAAGGGCCTTCAGGACGACCTTGAATATACTACCAAGTTCAATCAGAAGTATCTTGAGATGATAGTAAAGTTAAGGAGAGAAAATATCGAACTGGAAGTCGACCTCGCACTCTGCAAGGAAGACCTGGATGCTTGCCGGAAGGAAATTAGAACTCTCAAGGCTCAGACTGATTGGATGGAGAGCTTGTTCAAGAAGCCGTGATTCAAGAGACCCTAATTTATGTATGCAGATGTCCATCCCTTCGTCTATCAGTAAGATGTTATCACCCCAAGAAAAAGTATATCAAGTATAGCTTTACTAACAGATCTCGTTACCCCTCTTATCAAGTACCAGATTTCACATGCGAATATGATTCCTCTACTGGTGTGCCAGCATTGACAGATGAAGGGTTAGCATCGATATCTCAAAAGAATCCACCGGGGGGAAACTTGGCCATGGTGGAGGATGTATCCTGGGTTTCTTTCGTCTAGCATGAAATTTTTTCATACAGATTTGGCACTTTAAATAGCTCTTTCGGTAATAAAAAGCTGTTGGCACGTACTTAATTGTCTATTCTAAGGCACATTTTTAATGTGTGATTTAATCTGTGACCATAGGATTGCATAGATAGAGATTATTGCGGACAGTCCTTTAATTTGATCATACGTATGTGGATTCTGACTCCCGAATCAGGCGGGTTTGGGAAAACATGTGAATTCTCATGTGGATCGGCAATATCGACAAAGCGTGGGAGGTAGTGAGGGAAGTCTGGAGCCGACGTGATTCTTTTGAGCTGGAGTGGCAGCAGATGGAGACGCCGCCGCCGCCAATGTCCCGATATAATTCGCCTCCTATTGAAGAACCTAGCTCGAAGAGGGTCTCTGGTGGTGGAATGGAAGTTGCTGACTATAGTATTTGGGGGTTCTAAGCGGACAGCGAAAACAGTAAATATAAGAAACTTCGAATGATGGGGTGGTCAACACCAGACCCGGCGAACAGGCGCAAGAGAATAGCTCCGTCAGGGCCATGAGTAAACATTATGAGAGGTCCCTTTGATTTGCCGTCATATGGGACGGCTGGTTGGATATTTTCCACAACGCCCAATATATTTGATTCTTTCCGTTATACCCCCAGACGCGGTCGGCGATGATTTGGTTATGTATATACAGCAAAACATACTATGATTCCACCCCCCTGGTGGCTGGATTAACTATGCTGGAAGCATAACTACATGTAAGTGTACCTATGTACATGTATGTAACACTTGTGACCGGGTTTAGAGCTTCTTCATAGGATATCACTCGATATATAATTGGCAAAGTAATCCTTACCAACGGTTTCCCAGATCGCGGAATGGACTTCTGATCCTTGGCTCTTTGAGTCCTACTTGCGGGCTTATAGTATAGAGTGATGGAACGTATGTGGTTTGGGTGTAGGGCCCGCGAATCCTCTATGTCGGGTCGTTAGGCACGGAACTTACGAGATGAGTGCAATTATACAAGCCTGGTAATGTTCCTTCTCGTCAACAATATCTTAGAGGTATTATGAAGTTTCGGGATTATCCTGGGACTTTCAAATTTTGGGCTCGACATATGTTGTCCTGTGGAATCAAGTCCCGTGATCTAGTCCTCTCGGGGCTACCAAGACGTTCCCCCTCGTGCTCATCACTAATCGGGAATGACTTTATCTATTGTTTGCTACAATCAATACATTTAACGACACCTTTCTTTGCAACTTTCATTGGTAGGTTCTCTGCCACACGGTTTTGTCCCGCCATTGTGCCTCTGACCGTCGCGTTTCCATCTAGGCAGAGCATATGACATATCTGAGCCTGAATCATGTCTCACTTTGGTGAGAGGAATCAATTCCTCCTACTTCTCCATATGTAACTCAGCGTCGATTTCCCCTCTAGCTCTCCTAATGATCCTCGTCTCGATTACTCTACTTCCACCCCACAGAATAATCTACGGCATTATCGCATATGAAAACCGAACTTTTAGCAAATATGTGCTATCACAAAGACAGTAAAGAGCGCGCTATCAAACTATTTCGGAATGTCTAGAGCTGTGTAACTTGTCCTGCGAGCACAAACACACCAAGTTCGTTCCTCCATGCATCTGATACTATCGTTGTTTCTGTCTGGGCCCTATAGCTATTGCAATATATCGGTTACAAGAAACGCTACCACCGTCACGAGAGATCTTTATGAAATCCCAAGGAGAGTGAATTACGAGTTATTTGTATCGTGCTTGGGGTAATATAGTATAGAGAGTTTGTTGCCACCTTAAGAATGAGATTTATGAGTGATGTGAATGCTAACTTAACTCACAATCCATATAGCCGGCCTTTAATTTACGAGGAGCCTGGAGCGCCAGATTCAAATCGTTTCCATAGATGCATATGACCAAGGTATGATTAGCACCTCAACTTCATTTAGTTGTCAATTAGCCTATTTACTGATCGATTCTTTAGGGCAGGGTTCTTCTCGAATATATATAACACATCATTATAACTACTAATACCAGGGACTAGATGGGATTGCACGCTTTGATCGCCGAGAATGTTTTGCGACAAGGCGTGACCAACTACTCCAAAAAGAAACGCATATTTAGGTACAAGTGGGACGGAGAAAACCACGGCAGGAGCCTTCAGCCCCCGGGTAAGAGGGACCTATTTAGCTCTTTTCCCACCGTAGACGTGGATTTCTTTTTAAATACTTGTTCAAAGCTTCGGGGATTCATCTACACATTTATCCTGGTCTGAGTTAAGTACCGTTACAATGTTGTTTTCTACATGATATCGATTGATTAGAATTATGGGCACTGATACTGATATTGATATTCCTGAAGTGAATGTTACCAGGTCAATTGACCTGTGATGTCCTATGGAATTGATACGTGTACTTGTATTCTACACTATCCGTACTTGAGTCCAAGGCAGTCGGAATAGAGCAGTAGGGCAGATAATGAACAAGGTTAAAGGCGCTTTTCACTTTATAGGAATAGTTAAAAATATACCTCCAACTGATCAATAGAGCTAGAAAACAGAGCGATGCATATACATGACGAAAAGAAATCTGAAACTGAGTGAGGGATTCACAATACAACCTTTGCGCTGGATCGATCCAGCGTACTAGAGCCGGCTCCCATAGTAATAATAGTTGGATCACCGGTTTCCATTTGCGCAGGTGGGGTCAACAGTGCTTTGCCGCACGAAACATTGGAATACAAAAGACACTCTCAAGCAATACCAAATCAATGAAATTATTGTTTTCGAGAGTTACCATGGGTAGAACTATATACGCTTTAAAAAGAGAAGGAAATTATTTTTATCACGTTAGAACTGGTCAAGTAAGATCTTAGCTGCTGAATTCTGCATCTTCTTTTGTGGATTTGTTTGTTGCAATGTTCGATTAGAGTTTAATTTTGGCTTATCTTTGACTCTACGATACTAATAAACAATTTGATATCCACCCCCATCTCAACAAGGGAGTAGTTCTGGGCGGTCTGCATGCAATTAATGAGTTAAACAAAAAAAAAAGGGTAGACAGGCCTTGTCGGTTTTGCAGCCAAGCGAGGGTCTAACAGTATTTAGCCACCGCCAAGACTGTGGCTCATAAACCCCAGCTCTCACAGCGCAAAGGCTGTAATGTGTACAAAGGGAAAGAAATCCAAGTTTATTTGCCTTTATTTCTACAAGTCTCACAGGTAATGAGATCGCAATACAAGCATTGCCAGATGACATAATGCGGTCCGGAGTAACAGAGGTGGCACCTCCATAGCATTAGAGTATTTGTGCTCTTTTTGGTCTCGAAATCGTGATGGCATGAAACATTCTTCATG